GGAACCATGCATGGTGATGTTTTAATGAGGCCACTTCGGGTTGGCCTTTGTAAGAATTCTTCTTTTAAAATGAGTGAAGTTATGATTTTACATTTTGAAAGATTAATACATTATTTATTTATTTATTATTATTATTGTACAGTAACGAAAATATAGGTGACTATATGTTTGCATTTATATTATATATTTTTAATTTATTAAAATTTAATGTATGTATATGAATTTTAAAATATAAACATTTGTTCTTAAAATTATGAATTATAAATAAACGTGACTCAGAGTTCAAAGAGAAAAAAACTGGAGGTAATATGTCATTGAGAGAATAAAAAAACATCTTTTATTATTTTTATTTATTATTTTATGTTCAAATGAAAAGATTGAAGGAAATGTGTGATTAAAAGAAGTAAATATATATATATATATATATATATATATATATATATATATATATATATATATATATATATATATATATAACATAGATTTAAATTATTATTTTTTTCTTTCTGATGACACAAAAAATGGTTACAACATATAATCATTTTACATATAGTTTTAGACAATTGAATTTTAATCAATAACATTTAACTAAATGATTATGAATCTTGCTTTGAAATAAGGGATTCGTATGTGTTCATACAAAATGGTTTAGCTATTACAATTTTCTACTCTTCACCGTTGAGTTGCAGACGAGATTTACAAAAGAGGAAAATTCACCATCAAAAAAATTTTGATGCATAAATTAGTATTAATAAGAGAATAATAATAATAATATAATAATGTATAAATAATAAACAATAAGAAAATGTATAAGACTCTTACTGATCTAATTTTAATAATAAATCAAAATTATTTTAAAGAACTAATTATATTAAATAATGAATTATATTGTAATTACTTATATTATTGAGTAATCAAGTTTATTTTGATTATACAATGATACTTAACTATATCTAATATTTGATGGTATTAATTTTTTAAAAACAATTTATAATTTTGTGTACAAATTGGGATAAGTATACAAGTCTCATAAGTTTTGAAATATGAGAACAAAACTTGAAATATGAACAAATTAAAGATGAACGAAATTTAGATGAATTGATTGTCAGAGTTGTTTTATTTTTTTTCAGGTGTTTAAGTTGGTTTGGATGGTCACATAAGACTTGGGGTATGCTTTGGTATATGTATGCTAAATCTAAAAATTTAGACATGATGTATTTGATATAGAGCTTTTGGTTATGTGAGTTTGATCCTTAGTTTTTTTTTTTTCAAGTGCTTTTTTGAACCATTAAAAATGTTCAAGGCACATTAAATACTCTAAAACTCTTCAATGAAGTATTTTAAGATAAATTACATGTCAACTTTAGAAATAGGAGTTTGAATAGAGTTTTAAAAACGTTTTTAAAGATAAACTTTTACTTTTTAGTAGATCATCATACTAATATGTGATTTGATAGTTTTATTTTAATAAGATGAGATGATGATATCATTTGATGCTTATAATGTTTTTTCAAAATATTTTAGTAATGATTAAAAAAATTCATTCAAAACAAGTACACAAAAATGGATTAAGTAAGATAACAAATAAAAACACTTAAATTTTATAATAGTTCACTCAAACTATACTATATAAAATCTTCATCTATAAAACTAGTAAAGAGTTCCATTATAATCAACATATTACAAACAAGTATTATCAACTACCACTCTTGATTTAAAGAATAAGCTCATAAGGTCACTCTTGGCACATCATATATTCTTCTTCACAATGCTACTCCTAGCTCATATGAGTGTAATAAGTCTCTCTAGATATGTCAAATAATGGTTTGATGGGGTTACAAGTATCTAACTCTCATTAAGAGAATATATGACGATTTTCATGTATATTGGAGCTTAAAATTTACACAATGAATTTTATAAATAACTTCAAGAGGTAAAAGATTTATAAATAATGGTCTCTCTCAACAATGAAATAGAATACAATAATTTTACAAGATATTTTCTTAAAGTTTCTTACTAAGTCTATTTATTTCTTTTGCTTTTTCCTCTCATGTTCTATTTGTTACTTTCTATAATATAGCATTCTTAACTTCATTGCATGACTTCAGTGACGGATCTTGACCATTGATCTTAGAGGGGTCAAATAATATATTATTAATAAATAAATATAAAAGGAAGTAGGAAGATGAAATGATGAAAAGATAAAATTGAAAATATATACTTAAATATATTAAATGATCATTAAGTTTAAGGGAGACAAAATCATAAATTATATGAGAGTTACAAAACTAAGGAGGGGCTGAGAGGATAAAATTGTAAATATACAAGTAAATATATTAAATGTTCATTAAGTTTGGGGGTGGCCAAAATCATAAATTACATAGGAGTTGGGGGTCACGACCCCCCTCAGCTCCCAAGAAGATCCGTCACTGCATGACTTGAATCAATATTTATAGTCACATGCAGAAATAGTCATTGAGACATACGAGTTAAGTGTTGACTCTACCTAGTATAAGTTATGATCGTGCTTTTTAGCTTTCTTTTTAGAGCATGTGAACCTTTGGTCTTGATGCATGCTTAGATGTCATTGAGATTTTAGTGTTCTTTTGCATTGTTGTAACTTTCCCAATGAGCAAGCTAACTAATATGTAAAAAAGTTCTCGTTGATTTACTTTTTTATTTACTCAATTGCTACGTAGTGTTTCAAATATTCAAGAGTCGTGTTGTTAGTTATTACATTAATTAGTTGAAGTGATACGCATAAATTGCATTTGTTGATTATATGGTGCTCTATTATCATTATCAAATAAGCAGTGGTTGAGTATGACACTCATAACTAGTCAATAGACATTGATTATCATTTAAGTTTGTAGCCATAACATGTCTACTAAATTAATAAGATGTTATGCAACTTTATTCCATTTAAGCTCAATAGTCAAGTCCTCGTTAATCAAGATTTATAATATAAAACTTAGTGGAGTCTTCCTCAAACAACGTTGAATGCTAAGCCTTTATCAAATGAAATGATGATATACAACTAATTGAGTCTTCATCAAGTGAGTTGATGATATATAATTGGTCAACTTTGGTTTCACCGGACGAATTGAAGACACATAGTTTAATTTAGTTGCACTTCTTGAAACAAACTAAAAATATGTAGTCAAGTCTAGTTTCTCTATGTGTTATAGCAAAATCTCACCCAAATGATTGATCTATTACTAAAATAAATATTTACTTAGATAAAGTATGCTTAGATATGCTTGTTAAGGTTAGTAGAGACATTGTATTGTTCTATGATTAAAGTTTTCTAATCTAAATGCAAAGGTAGAATCATAATATTTTCTATGAAAGGATGACGGTATTCTTAATCCTATGAATCATAGTAAAAGTTTGTTTAATGAATCATACTAAGCATTAGTATGATGATCTACATGTCTAGAAGGCGTGTGAAACTCAATTATTATTTTTTGTCATTCAAGCTCTCTTTTAGTAACAATGATAATTGTTTATAGTTTTGTATGATGTTTGACTTGATGAGGATGATCACGAGTATATTGTTGAGGTTCAACATTGAATTAAGGACTAGTATGATCTTAATAGGATCAAACTTATTGTTGCAAGTAAGAAGGATCACAATTTAGTTATGGTTGAATCACTTAGTTTTGTGATTTTCTAATCAATATTTTGATATTAGTTGTTGTAAATTTTTCAACTGAGGTTGATATTGTTTTTGAAGTATATTTATGTCCTATATTATTTTTTTTATTATTATCTCAAGACATTAATTAGTTTAGAACTGTAATATTTTATTACATATTCAAAAAAATTATTATATTGTTGTCTTTTACTATTAAGTTTATCATGTTTTATCTATATGAAGATCGCTTACAGTAGATAATATATTCATCTTGTTCATAAATTTGACATATTTTTTACTATTCATCAAAATCATGAATACTTAAAAAATTATCACAATTTAAAATACCAAATATTCTTTTAAAAATAGAACATAACTACTAATAAATTAAATATCTTATTTTTATGAGTCAAAATACCAATAATAATAAAAAATAAATTTAAATAAGATAAATACGTACCTATAAATGACCGCCAATGAGTAAAAAAAAATGATAATAATAACTAAAAATTTTAAATATTAAAGAATTAAGTAAATCTTCATATTACATTTAAGGCTTTGATCAATAGGGTGATCTTATTAAATCTATGGTCTTATTACTCAAAATTACATTAAAAACATAATAAAAAAATCAAATTATTAATCTTTATTTTTCTGTAATTATTAACTAATACTTACTTCATTACCGACATTTGATTTTATCATTACTGTATCTTAGGAGAACGAAAAACAAAATCATGGCATTATGAGTTTTGTTGTGATTTAAAGGGAAAATGAGATAATAGCTATACGAGAGAAAAACGAGTGAAAAAAAATAATAAATAAAAATTTAGTATAAACTTTTAAATTTTCATTGGAAAATAGCGAAACAAGGAAACTTAAACTTGAGTGAATACGGCAACATAATCATAAAAAAAACAAGGAACTAATAATTTAATGCCGTAGAAAATAGTTTTGGCGACCAGAATAGTGAAATATAAGAATTTATCCAGAGATGAAAAAATAAAATCTTACAATCCATTATCTTAATGTGTATCGCATCGATTATTGCATTTGTTAAGTGCTTGAATTGGACAAGTTATGCTTTACACCAGAAACACCAAATTCAATTTCCGCCAAAAAAATATTGTGAGAGTTTCCCACTGTTGAGGCAACCGGAAATAAACTGAATAATAGCATAAATGCTAAGACATCAGTCGTATAACTGCTGCAATTTGTTGAAAAAATATTCTTTGTGCACCTAAAACAGAAGATTGATAAACCAAATTCTAGGCTTTAGGATACATTATATTGCAGAAAAGTATGATTGCAGGAGCATGATTGTAGTACGAGTGACCTTACGTTCAAAGAGAGAAACTTTTCGTCAACCTTCCTCCCAGTCCACATCTTCATCGTCATCAGCTGGAACAACATCAGCTTGAACATTCAAATCATTGACCTTGTAATTTTCATTTCCAGTACCTGTATGATAGCACACAGAAAAACGTAATTGAAACAAGTAAAAAATAAAAAATCATACAAAAGAGATTCGGATGGAAAAAGTCAATATTAAAGCTTCTGGAGGCAGAATTCTGCAATGTGTGGTCGGAGAAATAACACTAAGGTAACATTTTGGCTCAGAATAATATAATCCAGTGTACATAACATTACTTTGCTTGAGGATTTCAAAGTTGATGAATAGCCCATTCTAGTATTGAAAATTATACAAACATCAATTTTCATCATACTAATATCCAAACTAAATTATATGAAAAATCTACTAATACTAATATTCAGTCAAATACACTTGATTTTCATGATAAATTTATTGGTTTAGTTTCATTTTTTATAATTAATATAATCAAGCACCTTTCCATAAGGTTAAACTGCAACATGAAAAGCTAAAATTTCATTTAATACCAACCAGATGAATGTTGTTGAAAGTTCAAACCAGGAAAAGACTAGTAACCAACTGATTCTAGGGACACTAATTAACTTGCTATAAGTTTTTGGTTGACCCTGAGAACATGGATTTGATCATTGATGAAGAAACCAACCAGTAAATGTTCCTTAATTAGGACTTAAAACGAATATATAAAGTTATAGTAGAAGATTTACACTAAAATAACATTCCAAATAATTTCTTATTACAAATAATGTTGTATAGGCATTAATTTGTATTTTGAAATTTGAACACTAACTACAGTAATATACAGTGTATATGTTAGAAACCAAGAATTAAAAAAAAAAAAAAGAGATAATTTTTTATTGAATAAAATGAAAAAAAACAAAAATAGGAATACACTCTCTCCTTCAAGGGTTTCTCCTTTCACAGAAGGCTAATGCTCAATTTAGAAAAAGAAACTACCTTCTCTTATACTTCTTACCATATTTATATCTAAATAACACTCAGGCAACTAACTAAATCAATAATATGCTAACTTTCTTACTAATTTCTTCACCTCGTACCCTGATAGTTTGTTAGGAATCAAGAATTGAAAGGAAAAAATAAAAGAAATTTTTTTATTGAATAAAATGAAAAAAACAAGACTAGGAGAACACTCTCATTCAAGGATTTTCCCTTGACAATTGATTTCTCCTTTCACAAAGAGCTAATGCTTAATTTACAAAAATAAATCCCCTTCTCCTATCCTTCTTACCCTATTTAGATCTGAATAACATTTCAAGAAATTAACTAACTCATTAATATGTTAACTATCTTACTAACTTCTTCATGGTATACCCTGTCAACATATCAATTCTAGTTTAAGTTAAACAGCTTAATAAATTGCAATATCAATTAAAAAAATAAACTTCAATACTGTGGAAAAAGCAAGTTCAATCCCAATAAAAACATCCACCACCTAATCTTTTTAATTTTCCAAATAGGTGACTCATATGCTTTTAAGAAAATTGTCCTCCAAACCCTATTATTATTATTTTGTCATTGTGGTTGTCATTTGTAATGTGACAAATATAATCTTAAATTGAAAAGAGGGATAAGGGCCTTATTAAGAATTGATAATATGTGAAGTAGCCTAACACATATTTAAACTATACCACATGACATGAGGCACGCAATGTGGGAATTCCAATATGCCCTCTCCAAAGGAGCTTGCCGGACTGCAAAGAGTATTTTAAGGATAACTTTTGACTCAAGACAACAACAAAGGGTACTTTTGACCCATAACGAAATGACAACTTTTGGCCCAAGACAATAACTGGAAAGAAATTACGCTTTGGTTCTAATACCATGTTAAGGTTCCAACATAAAATTAATTGACAATATGTGAAATAGCCTAACACCACATGACATGAGACAAGCGATGTGGGACTTCCAACAAGCCTAAAATCTAAAGATGAATAAGGTGATAAGAATCCATATTAAGAATAAAAAGATAATTTTAGTCTATTGAATCAAATTTCTAATAAATACTTTAATGAAAATCAAAACAAAACTGTATTAGGAAATTACACAACGTAAAAATATTCATTTCTTTACTGAGCATCGATATGTAGAAGGCACATAAACATTATCGCTCCAAAGTGTGCTCAAATCACATTGAAAAGACACAAATTACCTGCAACAGGAGCTTCCTCCCAGTCAGTACCATCATCATCTTCCTCGTGTTTTGATTTCAAGCCAACTTGACGATTATAAGCACTGCTAGAAGGATCATTTGCAGCAAGTGTATTTGACAATTCTTGTTTACTAGAAGCTTCCAATTCATGTTGTTGTTTAAGTAGAGCAGCATAATAAGCCTTGATATACTCATCCTATAAAGTAAAAAAAAAAAACAATTCAACATAAATAAATGTTTCAGAAGCTTCAGATAGAAAGAACAAGGAACTGAAGTGAAAAAGACAAAATATAAAATAAAATGAAAATAACAGCTGATCATATAGTATATGCCTGTATATTTTTCTTATCATCATGATCAACTGTTGATTTCTTGTCATCCGAGTACTGTGCTGATGAAGAAGTTGAAGTCCCATTCATCTTTATTTCCTCCTTCACCTCTCCACGCTGTTCCTTTGTAAGAACCATCCCTGATTTTATCATCCATGGTGGCAAAACCTTTAGAGATGTACTTTCAGTTTCAGACTTAACATCATGTCTGTTGCCTTCAGTCCCATTGAAGTCCACCACAACCTGTTCAAATCCAGAAGTAGATTACAAACCATTTTAGGCTACTAATGCTCAGTGCCCAAATTTAAAAATTACATAAAAGATCCACTATAAACAACTAGAGAAACAAGGCCACACCCTTCACATTTGTTCATGTGTCACTTATTTTTGGACAAGGGAAAGAAAGTGCTAAATTTAACTGCTGAAAATTATATACTTCATTAGAGTAATGCTACATACACATATGTAAACACACAAAATCTAATGGATGGATCTGTGTGTACATTATTAGATTCACCTATGAATGTCACATTACATCTTTTCTACACATCCACATGCAATAAAAACTGCATATGCTGTGGTTTGTTACTAATCTTTACTTAGTTGGTCCCAAAGCACAGATAAAACTTACGAGGGCTGTGTTAAGCAATTGAGAGCTAATGCGAACTTTTTTGAATTTCAATGAGATGATAATGTTAGTGCCCAGTTTTTTGATATATCTCGTTTAACCAATTTATCTAAGAACTCATAGGTTGAACCAGTGACCATTAACCCAGTACCTCAGCTGAGTTAATCACTGATCTGACTACATGGAGGTCTATACTAGTACTGGTTATGCAAGAATGATTATTGAATGGAGATCAATTTCAAGTTATTCTATTCTTTAGTCGGAAATTTAAAACATGGAAGAGTAAGAATCCAAGTTCCTGCTGAATTTCGAGTTATGGAACAAGGGTTTTGGGAATTGCTTTGGTAAAAATTATATTAGACTGTTTTTTTACAATAAAGAAAGAAATGATTATGGAGCTGTACTATAATAGTGCATTACAATTAGTTTTACTCCTAATCTAGTTAAAGAGGAGGGAATGAAACACAATGAGATTTTCTCACATCATCAAGGAAAAATTGGATAGTGAACTAATGATAACTTCATATAAAGACTTTAGATGGCAAATGTGCTAAGAGGCTGCAACGGAGAAATTTCAAGATAACAAGCTGGGAATTATAGACATCCATGCAACATCTTGAAGGTATGTGATACAAATATAAAATGAATAATTCCGTAACTATTGTAAATTAATTTTATAAGTAGAACACATTTGTTGGAAAGATATATTTCCTATGTGATTCCTTATGAGCATGCATGGCCGTACTTGGGCAAGTTAGTGTTAATATAGGTCTGTATAATGTACATACTTTCATTAAACTGATTATCAGATAAAATTTCAGAAATTTCAATCTTTCAATTATAAATGAAAAACAAATAGAGAAAAGAGAGGAAAAGCATAATTATGTGAAATGATATCTTCTAAAGAGAAAAGCAAGAAAAGAAAAACAAAAATAATTGAATAAAAACAATAATCAGAATAATTAGCAAGGTTTGTAACTGCCTACTTTCCTTCTTCGCATTGAAGAAATCATGATCATTAGAACAGTAACTCTTACCTTAGTATCCCCACTATATGGCATTGGTGCTCCATTATATCCAAGCTGAGAAATTTTAGAATCACCAGACATATCTCCATTGGCTGCACGCCCCATAGCACTAGCTCGAGCTTCCCATGCTAGGAGACTGCCAAATTCTGGAACAGGCAAATCTTTCACCCTGCTGAGTTGGTCCATTAAAGGCTTGAGCTGTATCTGCAAGCAGTTATATGTTAACTTTTTTGACAAAATAACAGAGTTCAATCTATCCATCATCAATCACATGTATTTTGAACCAATATAACTGGAGGAAAAAAGGTTGAAGCTTGACACACAGTACAGAAGAAGTATCATAGTCATTGTTAGAAGTAGTACCAGCTGTACTATCTTGTGAGTGCTGTCAATAGACAGATGTCACTAAGAGTTTAAGTTGCTTTCTCAGGAGCATTCAGAGAGTAGCGAGTTATAAGTTCTTAGATATAACAAATTCAAAACAGATAATGAAATCATATTTTTCTTAGAAATTCTCTTCTTTTTATTGTTTTCGATCAAATCCCTATAGTTTTAAAAATGATCAAACGTTACAAACAAATTAAAATACAGACCAGAAACACCAATAAATAAAGGCTAGCGCAGTGCAGTGTCTAGTAAAAATGAAACAATTTCAAATAAGATTTGTGATAAAGATATCCGGATGAAATTCATGAAATAAAAGGTAGTTTACAAGTCCTGTGTATGTAAAGGGCACAAGCGCACAACATCAAGTCATCAATACATCTCAATTTTTTAATGGTCACCGTTATAAATTCTGAAAGATTTTGAAGCATATATTATGCATTTGACTGCTACATCAACTCTTTGAACAAAAAAACTAAATGACAGTGTAAGAACCTGAAATTAGGATTCAGGTGTTGGACCTATTAACGTTAGACCTATTAACGTTAACATGCCACTACACATTCTATTATACTTTGATTCATATTTCAACTATGGCTACCTCCAGAACCATGCACATCTAATTTTAATATCAAATGAAACCAAGAGATCAAGCATGCAAATGATCCCCGCAACCATCACCTTCAACCTCCAGAAAAAATGAATAGGCATATACTGAAAAAAAAAAAAAAAAAAAGGTTGGCATATCCTCATTTTATACCCATGAAAGGATTTAGTTTTGACATTATTGATCAGTTAAACATTCATATAAGTCATTCTCAACATGCTGTTTATGTAAGTGGTATGTGATGCATCAAAATACGTATTAAATAGTCGTCATCAATCTTGGCAACTCTCTTTAGAATCCTTTTGGGCTGTGACACTGTTCTAGGTTGCATTTCTAACAAGTCAACTGATTATTCAACAAATAAAACAAGACTATGTTAAACCTCTCAGCATTTTTTATTCATAAACAAATGCCCTTACCCTATGAGCCCTAATGACACAAAATTAATCAGTTCTAACAAATGGCACTGAAAACCATAATCAAGAATAACCAATATTGAACCAAATGATTCATAATATGAAGCACGCAAAAGAAAAAAATAACAGTAAAATCATAAAAGAACCTCCATCTTCTGAAGCATGTCTTTTAACTTTTCATGCCGCCGTCTTCTTGCATTATCATCTCCATCAGCCCCTTCTTGAACCACAAACTTATCACTTTCTACCTCAAGTTTTCCATTACAACTTTCACAATGGAAGTCATCATCTTCAAAAGATACTAACCGCAATGCATCCAGAGCATTGTATCTAAAGAATTCAAATCCCCAAGTATTATGGAAGCGTAAAACAAGTTTTTATATTGAAATAAATCTGGAATTATAATGGATTACTAAAACCTTTTTCCACATTTTGTACAGATATATTCCTCTATTGTGTTCTTGTTGTCCAATTCATCTTTGAGCAGCTTTTTCATGCGATGTATTCTGTACCTAACCACATCATATATCTGCAACAAACTTCAACATAAAATTTCTATACGTGGGGGAGCCACTGCTAATAACTGACTCAAAAAGAGTGACAAGCAAGCACGCAAAATAAAAGAAAAACCACATGCATCATGGAAGAATAGCCTTCATAGAAATATATAGTTGGGACTGGGAAGAGACAGACCTGTGCATAATCTAGACAACAGTAAGAATGTGTGTGCAACTTGACCTTCTCTTCTCCCTCTTTTCCAGTCAGTTGAACATCAACTGTAGCAGCTGTAGCAGCACTAAACAATTTTGCTCCTTTCGCTGTCTGGGAAAGCAGATAAGAGAGAAAGTAAGGGCATGACTATTTGCATCATTAATAGCGAACATCCTAACACTTCAATCCTAATAAGGAAAATCAATAAAACCTGACAAACATGAACATAATAAAATTCAAACAGAGAAAACTGAATCAAAACAGAAGAACAAGTTAATAGTTTAAGATAGCCTAGCTGAAATATCAACAAAAACGGACAAATATGATCAATCCCAAATATATTTAGCATAAGCATAGCAAAGATGATTGTTAGAAAAACTTGTAAGAACCTTTGGAGAACCACACCACAATAGCTAGTTGTAATATATGTGGAGAGTCAAAAGCCTTATAAACATGATAAGCACTCACGTACTTAGGGAACCCTCCCTTAAAAGCTAGTTATCATCCAGGGGGAAGAACCAAGTCACTTAAGTACTCCAGTGGAGATGTCATACTAATCGACAAGGGACTTTGCACTCCATAATACCCAAGTGTCTATCAAATCCCCAAACTAGAATCCCATACTTAAAATGTAGGAGTGAAGTCCCGTCCTTGCAATGCCTTTGGATCCTAACAAAAACACTACCAAGTGATCCAAACAAGTGCAAATAACTACGAGAGAATCATATTTCTAGCAGAAGAATTATTACACAAATAATAAAAAAAAATAAAAATTCAAAGGCAGAGTAAGGACTGAGGCTTCATGTCATGGGATTTGGAGCATCAAGTCATGGGGCGGGAACAAAGCAAATGAGAGAATGAATAGACAACAATCCACAGAATGCATGTTTTGAACTTTGATACCAAGATGAGTTCATTGGCAATTCAAGGTACAGAAAATCTTATTATATTGAAATTTATAATCTACCTATGATGCACAGATGCCAAGGGTGTGAAGATAAAACCGATTTAACAACAACAGCAAAAAATCTTATCCCACTAGGGGAGATCAGGTTAATGAATTGCACAAATGCCAATTGGCTCAGTTAAGGGCCAAATTTTCTGAAGGATTCTTATTAAAACAAATAACATATTTGTAACAACATTACTATGTTACAACATATAAAATTAGTATAAACATAGATACAGTCTAACACCACTATTGCAAATATTTTTAATTGTTTGTGCTTCCTGACCTTCAATAAAATAACCTTATTTCCTGATAAGGTAACAAGTTAGCAAGTGCAATTGACTTTATGGTCAGTAAAAGGTATGTTAAAATGGAATGAGGTCAGTATGCATGCACTCAGCATTTTGGCAGAACCTCACACACCCTATCTAATTAAATGACGAGAAAATGAAATATGGCAAACATTGTAATCAACTTTACTGAATACCATTTTATATTCTGTCCTGTTTCATTCCTAATGGCATGACCTTCATAGGTGATGAAAAGCTTTTAAACAAGCCAATGCTATGAGCAATTGTCATTGATTGTTATATCATGAGGAGAAAACAAACCTAAAACTTTTTATATACACACACGACACCCATCATGACCCTCCATGTGGCTATATATTACAATGAATGCCTTTTCTCACTAGGTGGGATTGTCTTGATAAACCCTTGGTCTTTCCCTAAACCTAGAAGGTAACCGTCCTAGTCATCCTGTTAATCAGCCCCACGCACTAGCCTCACAGCCTTGGATTCGCCTTCCTGTCAACCGCTGAAGGGCAGGAAGTCTTTGGATACGTGTATGTAGCACACAAACCACTGTCTGGAGTTCAACCCCACGACACATCCGGATCACCAGGCAGGCATGCACCTGCTTCGTCCATTTTAGTTGTCATGTATGAAACCAGAGTCCTTGTACAAAGTCCACAGTGCTCTCACGTTAAGTGTATGTAACACTAGAGGGACATGTGTTATCACCTTATTGGATTTCTTAAGAAGGTGACAAATGTTACTTATTCTCAACCCTATCAACAACTGGTTGAGAAGTTAAGAGATGAGATGTTGTTCCTAGATCAACTGTTGTTCCTAGATCAAGAGCTGAGGCAAAATGTTGCTAGATCAAGAGCTGAGGTAAAATGTTGTTGCTAGATCAAGTGTTGAGACAAAATACCAATGGCTCTTACCAAATTTAAACATATTTGGCTGAAACAACTAAGTTAAAACTTTGCAAAATGGTCTATGAATCTCATTTGTGACTACAAGACAGCCTTGCACATTGCCTCAAGTTCAGTCTTTCATGAACAAACCAAACATAATGAGATGGATTATCACTTTATCTATGAGAAGATATACTCAAGGGAGACCATTACATCCTTTGGGAACTCTAATGAGTATATATTTTATCAAGTCACTCAAGAGGCCCAGAGATAGGTTACATATGCAACAAGCTTGGTGCATACAACATATATGTATGTGCTTGAGGGGAAGTGTTGAAATATCCACAATTACCTTACTTTTACCCGGGTAAATATTATTTGACTATGTTTCCTTATATATATTTTCAGCTGTGAAATTAGTAATTAGGAAGGCTTTTTAGGCTGTAATAACTAGGTTCCACCCTATAATCAAGGGATTTTTTTATTGTACATTGCTCATTATAACTAACTAGGATAAGAGTCAACCAAACTCATTTGCATATGCTTATAAGTCAGTGTAATTCGGATAAGTAACACCAATGAACTGCATAGGCAGAACCCAATAGTTACCTCTCTCCTATATTCTCGAGTAATGATCTTCTCCTCTTCAAAAAACCGCAGTGTTCGGCGAAGTTGTTTTGTGTGTAATTTGAGATCTTTCGCCAAATCTTCTTCTCTAACCCATTGTCGCCTGAACATAAATCACAAAAACACCAATAACAAACCCGCATAATCAAAGAAATGCATCCAAAGTCATAAAAATCCAACTGCACACGAAATTCCAGATTAGCCAAAGAGCTGAAATCTACATTTAAAGAAGCAATAAACTTATAGCCCCCATTGTTGTACCCCTATCAAAATAAAGAAGCAATAAACTTATAATAACACGTTCAAGCTCCACTTTTACGCATAGCTATTCCCTAGAATCTCACTTAAAACCCCGAATCATTTTTCGTTCGTTGTTTTATAATTACTTATGCGTAACTTATTCCGCAATCATAAGCGGAAAATCAAGAATGATGGAAGTGAGATCAAACCTTGTGAGGGCATCGAGAATCACTACAGCGATTCCTCTGTTATCACTCCTCCCCGATTTGGGTTGATTCTCTCCTTTACTCGTTAGATCATCGTAGAAAGCCCTCGCAGCTAGTTTAACCAGCCTACACCAAAATCAAAATTAACTAAATAAATTTTCCGTGTTTTTTTTTAATTAATAAATTCACACAATTATTTTGTAATCTTCGATTGGATTATAAGAGAAACCCGTACTTGTTGTAGTGATCGACCATCGAAGCGATCTGAGAATAAAATTTCAGCGGCTTCGATAGTTCGATTCAGCGCTTAAATCGGAAATGAAGGATAAGTGATGTGTGAGTGATTATCCAATGATGTTCATCGCAGTTCTCCACTCGCTTCCACTATGATGAACAATCGGAATTCCAAAGACAACACAGGCGGTATATATATATATATATATATATATATATATATATATATATATATATATATATATATATATATATATATATATATATATATATATATATATATATATGTAGGGCTTTCCCAAACGTATAGTAAACTATTCAATAACTCGTTTCTTCTTAGAAACTCCTACAAAATTAAAAAATAAATAAATAATGTCAAAAACAAATTATCTACTCTTATTTTTATCTTACAGAATTACCGTAAATTTTTAAAACTCGATAACAGTACAGATATTTTATCTTTGTTAGTGAAAACACAAGTCACCTCTCCTCAATTTTTATTACGTTATTTATTTTAGTAATTTAAAATTTATATTTATTTAAATGAAATATCTTTTATATTTTATTTTACATGATATTATTTATTATATAAAAATGATTTGATTACAAACTTAAGAAATAATATTACATTATAATAAATATTAAATTATATAAAAATAAAATATTATATTTATAAATACAAATATATAATTCGTAAAAAAGTAAATTATTAATCATAATTTGACAATAATAATCTTGTTCTTTAGTTAGACTCCGTTCAATAGTAAAAAAAAGTGTAAAAATAAAAATAATATATTAAAAGTTATTTTGTTAAAGAAAATAATAAGAAAATGAATAAAAAATATTATTTAATTAAAATTTAATATTTATATAATTATTTTTAGATTATTAAAATATTTATTAATGAGACAATAATTTTGTAAAATAATATCTCTATCATTTTTCAAAAAAAAAATTAATATCTTCAACATCATAAATGGTTTAGATTACTCAATCCATAGTATTTGAGATTGTTGAATATGTAATATGTTTTAGGAAAAAAATGCAAAAAATTTCTATACTACTTTATCCAAAATATTTTCAAATATTAAGTAAAATATAATCAAAAGAAAGAAACTCAATCATTCACAACGAAAATAATAAACACTGAAAAAAAAAACTTTTTTAACTTGGGAGTAAATGTGATACTTTTCAAAAAAAAAAATTAGATGGGGAAGAATATGGAGGTGTAGAGAGAGGTGGAAAAATGGGACGGATTCAAAGCTTAAAAGATAATAAATAAATAAATAAATAAAAAATAAAGACATTTTTATCATTTTACGTATGTTATGGGATGTGGGAAGAAAATGAGGGTGCAGAAAATGAGCCATGAAAGTTATAGAGTTGAATAGAAAATTGTATTTCATTTCTTTTTTTTTTTAATTGCTCATTTGGGTTGGGTTATGGGAATCCCTTGGAGAAATACGTTTTTCTAAGGACATTGGGCCTAAAGAACTCTGTTGGGTCAACAAGGATTTTAGTTGGGTATGTAGGCCATGCAAAGGTAGTGCAAAACTTTTCTAGATAATTTTAGAGAAATAATATAAATATTATCCTCATTCTCAAATTAAAAATTAACTCTTCATTTTTTTATGGAATAGTTTCTCCACCTTAAATTCGTTTTCATTATATATTATTTCTAAAGAAATATTATAATTATAATAAATTAATTTTAATATTTTTAATATATTTTTATACATAAAGAAATATTTATAATTATTAATATTAATTATCTATATATTTTTATTTATTATATTTAAATTAATATATATAACCTTTAATTATTTTTTCTCGCTCTAGATATAAAATATTTTTATTATTTTTATTATTATTAGTTTTATTACTATCATTATATTATAATATTGTATTCCGTTAATTTTACGTATAAGTTAATTATTTTTTAAGTTATTATTTTAAAATATTAATAAATATAAGATATATAATTTATAAATAAGATATTTTTATTGAATTATTTTAAATTAATAAAAAATTTAATTAATAATTATTTTTAATCTTTTAAAATATAATTATTTCATTAGGAAAAAAATTTAATTAATAAATATTTTTAATCTTTTAAAATATAATTATTTTATTAAGAAAAAATTTAATATATCACAAATAATAATAATAATAATAATGATAAAATTAAAAATATATGATATAATAAAATCTAATAAAAATGAGTTAGAAATAAAATAATATTAATTACTATTAAGATTAATATAAAATATTTAAAAAAAAACATAAGGAAGAAGAAAAATTAATTTTGTTGCTAAAAAATTGGTTAAAAAATTGAAAAAATTAACTTTATTGAAGAGATTAAAAAAATTATGAATGAAGAAAAAATAGGAAAATAATGTAAGAAATTGATTGATTTAAAAATTTTGAAAAGATAAAAAAGTAAAAAGTGGGTAAAAAAATAAAAAAATGATGTAATATAAAAAATAATCTTATATAGAGTGAGAAAAAATATTTTAAAATTTATAATATTTTAATATTTAAATTTAAATATAAAATTAGAATAAAAATAGAAACAAGATAAAACAAGGACTTCATTATTAATCCTAGTCTCTTTTTGTAATCAATTCGATTTTTTCATCCGTTATGAGTTTATCATTTTTATTTTATTGTAATTATTATTTTTTTTTAAGTTGAACTATTTTTGGGTTACTACATTTAAATATTTCAGTTAAGATAAATCAGAGCATGTTTACATGAAAGGTTTCTTCCTTTCTTAAATATAACATATTATTTATTAGTAATTTTCTTAAATTAAATAAAGCAAATAAAAACTAGTCAATGGTTTTATTTTGTGTCAATGATAAATTGAGCACATTGGGTCAATAAATAAACCTATACCTCTACTATCTGACTCATCATTTTTATCTTTATTCTCTCGTACATAAATATATGAATTTTTTTTTCTTAATATATGTTTTACAAAAATATCAAAATGTTAATTATAACTATTAATATGTTACATATATTACAATAGTTATTTATATTTAATGAGGCTGTTTTTGTGTAACATGTTCATAATTATAATTAACATTTTGGATATAAACAATTAAATCACATTATATTATTCTTACTTTGCATTTAGAAGACTTTTATAACTTTACAATAGAATTTATGTTAGTTTCGAAAATCATATTTAACTTCGTTGTGATTTTGTCCTAAACATATTAACGTATTTAAGCGTACAATATCCATTTGATTGAATTATTATGCAATTGTTGCTTCTACCCCCACTTACACTTACAGATTACCATGTGTTATCAATAAAGGGAGGTTCATTGTTTTTATTTTTTATTTTTTTTAAATTAGGCAAATACATATATGAGGGATAAAATTGAGTAAATTAAAAGGTTATTTAATACTATTAATAAATTTTTTATTTATAATTTATATTATATATAAAGGAGATTATTTTCTAATCTTAGTTTGAAGTTATGGGAATGACAAAATAAAAATGTTATAGTGAAAAAAATAATTATTATAATTTATATATTTAAAAGACGGTAAAAATATGAAAAAAATAGATATATTTAAAATAAAATAAGATAAAAATTAAAATAATATTTTAAAATAAATTAATTATAAAAAAATATAGATACACAGTTTTAGTGACTATGTTTCCATTAGTTATATATAATAAAAATTCCTTTTTTATCGCTTTTTGTGTTATAAGAGAAAACAAATAAAAATATCATAATTTTAAAAATATAATTATTATGATTTATATATTTAAAAATATTAAATATATGAAAGAGACTAAAATATAATAAAAAAATTTGATGTATTTAAAAAATTGGAGAAAGAAAATAAAATAAAATCATAAAAAATTATTAAAAAAAACAACTAAATAAACACGTATTTATTACATGTGAATATTAACCATTAACATAATATAGGAATTAAATATGTCTTGGAATTATTAGGATTCTAACCATAGAAAACAGTAAATAAAAAACATTTGGTTATGAATTGGGATGATATTCACTAAAACTATATATACTTTTGTAAAACATACATTTATGACAAATTAAAAAAAAAAAAAAAAAAAACTATGTTCTCGTCTCATAAGTTTTATTCAGCATTTAATCTCTCAATTATCTTGTTTGTTTTTTAATTTACATTAATGTTCTCGATATCTCAAAACCTTTTACCTCATGTTGCTTTTAAATCATTTTACTCCTCCGAATACAAACATAGATTTCTGTTTTTGTTTTTTTTTTCATTTAATTCATCAACCAGTTTATTCAGTTTCGACGATAATTTACTTTTATGCGATGAATAATATATATTCCAACAAATATATTTTACTTGTTTTGTTACATTCTTCTAAACCTATACACATGATCTATAAGTACGGTTTTCTTAAATTTAATAATTTTATTTTACCTTAAAAAATATAAAAAAAGAAAATTTAATTTATATATTTTAATCAAGGCAGTGAAATTTTTGTAATCGTGAACTTTAATCCTTATATTAAGTATCGGAGTTGATTATTTTTTATAAAATTTGAAAGAAAAAAAAATTATTTAAATTGACTTAGTTTTTTTATACAGATATTCCGATTTATTTTTTTGCTGCATACACTGTGTCTCCGCAACAGCAACCTGCAGCAAAGTAAGCGGGCCCAATGAGGCCCATGAGGCATAACTGGTGTCCCCATTATGTCGGTATAATAGGCCCATTTCGCTGCTAATCTGCACACCCAGATGGGTCATGTAAAAAACTGATCTTGATTACAACCTGCCAGCAGCATGTGTGAGGGTGCAGGTGGGCTCATGTTAAAGATTTTTTATCATTCATAATTGGGCCACTATGCTGTCCAACTTGTTGAGCAACTTGGGTAGCAGTTAGGAGCTGCTATACATACATCAACAACTCAATATTTATAAATCTTTTATTTTTATTTTTCATTTGACTTTTTATTTATTTATATGAATATAGGGGTAAGTATGGAAATATAAAAATGATAAAATATGTGGTTTGTAACATCTCAACAATTTGTTGGAGATGTCTGGTTGAAAATGCCCCTACAAACAACTTATTCAGCAGGTCCCATGTGTAACAAAAAGAAATATTGAGGTGTAATGGATAAGAATTATAAGACAGAAAGGGTGCTTTCAGTGTCGGTTGAGTGGCGTGTTGCTTCGGGCCCGGGCCCGGGCCAGGGCCTGTTTCTATTTATTGGTTATCTAACCATACTTAAGTCTACTACTGCTCACTGCTATCACTCATTTTTTTAAGTCGTTTTCTACAGTTCGTGAAAAGTTTTATGGGCCTCACTGTGTTTATGAGGCCCATGCAATCTTCCTTATCCGTTTAGTAAAGTGGCTATGACCCATGTTTTTCCGATCCGCATCCATATCCATCTACCGTGTGCCTACCAGTTGTTTTTCTGTATTTTGTTTTTGGTCCACGTTTGTTCTGTATTGATTAATTTGATTGCCTAACGTTATTCTTATGTCCCTCTCAAATAAAAAATATTTTTATGGTATCACTAACTCTCCTTCCAAATTTATTTATTTATTTCAATTTACTTTTAGTTAAAACTTTTTAGATATTTAAATTTTATTATCATTCATTTTTTATAAATATTAGAATAATTAATTAAATATATATAAAAAATTGAAACAAGTTAATAAGAAAATAAAAAAAATATTATCTTCTCTCGCACATTTAATAAAGTTTTATTATAGTGTTTATTTGAGTTTTATTTTTTTACTTTTATATTTATTTATTTTTTCTTTTATTATTGTCGAACTCCATAATTATAATATATATATATAATATTATTATAATGGATATTTATATAACTATTTTAAAATTACATTTTTTGTCCTTACAAGATAATACAATGCGTTAAGAGTTGAGAGAAAATAATATGTATAAATTATCTTTGACCTCAACTCCTAAATGATGTAAAATTGATAAATAAAAATATAATTCTTTAGTTAAAGACTAAAAGCTAGAAGTAGAGCAAAACTTCATGGAAGTGCCAATTTTTTTTTATAAAAACAGGATTACTCTCACCTTATATATCAATTTCAACATCTAAAGTATTATCCATATTAGAACTTTAGTCATTTTAAAATTTTAATTATCACGGTTTTTATTTTTTTAAATATCTCCATGACTCTTAACTTCCACTACCTCTCTCTATATATATCAAAGGAATTTAGCTAATTTTTATAGTTTTCATTATTAATATTTAATAAATAATCCTAATTTAATAACTGGTGGGGTCTTATAAGTAGTATTTTCACCTTTTATATGTTTTTATTAAGTGTAAAATGTTTTATAATAGTTTATTTTGGATTAATTTAAATAATTTTTATAAAAACCAATAATCTCACAATAAACTATAACCAATAATTAAATAATAGTGCAAAAACATTTATACTATCGGTATATTCAAATTCTTTATTTTAATCACTAATTCAAGAAAGAAAGAGTAAAATATACTTTCACAAGAAATTTTTTGAAATAGAAAATAAATAAACACAAAGAAAATCACTACAAGAAAATCGCGTATATCGAATCGGATATTTACCGAGCGGAATTGTAGCCGATCGGAAAATAATCATTACCGAACGGAAATTACCGACGGATATAAAATATTTGTGAAATTTGATGTTACCGACGGATATATCCGTCTGGTAAAATAATAATTAGTTACCGACTGGATATATCCGTCGATAATCCGTCTGTAATTTATAGATGAATTTACCGAGCGGATATATCCAGTCGGTAAATCCGTCGATAAATTAACAAGTAATTATCGACGGATATATCCGTCGGTAAATTCATATGTAAATTAAAAATTATTTACCGACCGGATAAATCCGTCGGTAAAATTATATAATATAATTTAATTATTCACTAATTAAAAAATAAAATATTTTTTATTTAATAATTTAATTTAATCATAATTAGATTAATTTATAATAATTTATTAAATTAAGTAATTTTAAAAATAAATATTTAATTATATATAAATATATATTTATATATATATATATATATATATAAATATATAAAAATATAAAAATATATAAAAATATAAAAATATAAAATATATAAATATATAAATATATATAAATATAAAATATAAAATATATAAATATATAAATATATATATAAATATAAAAATATATAAAAATATATATAAATATATAAAAATATATATAAATATATATAAATATATATAAATATATATAAATATATATAAATATATATAAATATATATAAATATATATAAATATATAAAAATATATAAAAATATATAAAAATATATAAATATATATAAATGTATATAAATATATATATAAATGTATATAAATGTATATAAATATATATAAATGTATATAAATATATATAAATGTATATAAATATATATAAATATATATAAATATATATAAATATATATAAATATATAAAAATATATAAAAATATATAAAAATATATAAAAATATATATATAAATATATATAAATATATATATAAATGTATATAAATATATATAAATATATATAAATATATATAAATATATATAAATATATATAAATATATAAAAATATATAAAAATATATAAAAAAATATATAAAAATATATATAAAAAAATATATAAATATATATAAATGTATATAAATATATATAAATATATATAAATATATATAAATGGATTTGTATATTTGTATATAAATATAATTTATTTGTAAATTGTTATCAAGAAATTCTAGTAGCTTAGTGGTTGGAGTATCGATCTACGACTCTAAGTGCATTAGGTTCGAATCCTTGCCAATGTCATGAAATAATTGAAATAATTAATAATAAGAATATAAGGGGGAGGGGTTCTATAAAAAAAATAATGTTATAAATAAGTAAAATATTTAATAATTAATAAAATTATTACCGACGGATTTTGACCGTCGGTAATTTTAATATTTCTTGTAGTGAATGATACTTTTCATAATTCTTTTTATATAAGATAATTCTTGAATAGAATATAAAATAGAAAAAAAATATAAATATTATTGTTATAATTATTATAAAAGTTGTCAAATTATTATTTTCTTTACGTTTGATTCATAAAACAAACAGGATGTATTACGTTATTATAAAAGGAAATACGAAACAAAATTTATTTTAATGTTTATAATTAATAAAATAAATAAATGTTGAATATTTAGTCATTAATAATGTTAAATAATTTTTAAATAGATTAATTTATCAAATAAAGTTTTTTTTTGGGTTATTTGGTTTAGATTGATAATCTAATTTTTTAATGTGATTTGTAGTTAATTTATTTACAAAATATTTAACATTATTAACATTTAAATACCCAATAATTATTTATTTTATTAATTATAAATATTAAAATTAATATTTTAATAATTAAAAAACTCTAATAATGACGATTTCAACCAAAAAAACCCTAACTTTTAATTGTGCATCAATGCATAACTTCAATGATAAAAAAAATCTAATATATAAAATAAATTAGAAGTCATGTTTTATAATATATTCCAGAATATGACTTATTTATATATATTTTTTAACTTATTCATTTAAAAGTTTTTGAATGTACCATTTAGTAAATGAGTCTCTCTTATTGTTTATTATATGAATTGAAATTGAAAATGGTTAAACTAAATGGTTAGATATTTGTGAGAGAAAATAGAGAGATATTTAATAATAACCTATTCCATATTTTATTCCATATCGTATTCAATTAATCTCAATGATTTATTAATTTTTAAGTAAGATATAAATCAATTACATAAAAAAATATAACATTATATTAAAAAAATCTTAAGATATTAAGATTATAGGTCTCACTTTATTCAATTTTATCCGATCCAATTTTGAATTGAAAGGTTAAGTTTGTACCTAGACAAACTTAAATTTGTTTTTGCTATGAAATTTATTACATTTTTTTTAAATTCGAGTTGATCTCATAAGTTTATTTATTTGAAATTGTTTTAATGGTTTTTAAATTTAAAGTTAAAAAGAAAAAAAAATCCATTTTCTTTTCTTTTCAAAAGTAACACTAGCTGTTAGTCAATTTTTAATGATTTATGAGAATTTGAAATTTTTTGTTTCATTCTTTTTTTTTTTTTTAATTCTCAAAACCAGTGACTTGATTTGAATAAACTAACTATTGTTTGATAAAAGGTTAAAAGACCTAATCTAATCAACCACATTTCATATATAGCGTATTGAAGAGTGTTTATATAACTTTATTTACACTTATACAGCTGGGGAAATAAATATTATAAGATGAAGAACTATACAGTTTTGGTAAATTTTCAAGTGATATATAAATAAAATGTTCAAATTAAAAGAAAAAAATGAATAAAAATCCTTGGACTCTAAACAATTTTTTATACAAGTAAACATTTTGCAACAGAAAACATAAAAAAACTAAATATAGGAAGGTTTGATTTGTTCATTTGGATTAAAAGTATGACTTTTTAATCTAGTGATGGATCTTAATCATTATCTTATAGAGGTAAAATAATATATTATTAATAAATAATTAAATAAAAAAGATAAAAGGGCTAAAAGATAAATTTGTAAATATATATTTAAATATATTAAATGATCATTAAGTTTGAGTGAAACAAAATCATAAATTAGATGAGAGTTTCAAAACTAAAAAGAAGTAAAATTATAAATATATATTT